TCACTGCAATTACCTTTAAATGTAATATTTTGTTTGAATAGTGATATTATCATTACTATTACATCAAAGCATTACTGCAAATACCATTTCAAATTAGTGCCACTAAAATTACTGTTATATTCAACACTATTAGGCAAGTCACATGCCTTGGTCAAAAAGCAGAAAATGATAATGTGCATTGTAAATGCATTGAGGGAGTCATTGTAGTTAATATATTGGCTCACATATATTTGTTAATGCAATTTCTGCAGTAACATTATTACTGTTCAAATATCTTGTTTAGAAAAACTTGGTCTTGATCAATAGTCCAGTCCACTCTGACCAGAGGTTTGGTTGAGCTGACCATTGTTGAAAGTGATTTAATGTGTTGTTTTAGACCAACTGTTTTGTTTGTAAACTAGAAGGTGGTGTGGACAGTTCGAATTACTTGAGCAAATATGACAGTTTACTGACGTCATTAGGACGTCATTCTCAACCACGATCAATAATTTTGGACTGTCTTTAACCTCTTCAAGGTCAATTTGGATCACAGCCACAAAAAATTTTGAAGACCAGTTTTGTCTTTAATTTTGTTCCATGAGATTTGATTTAGTAGGTATTGTTTACCTTTGTTTTTAAATTCTTGTACTTGTTAAAGATGGGTTCCCTTATTTTCATTTAAGAAAATGAAAATGCTAATACTTATACGAATAGAAAGTAGAGGTGTTCTAATGACTTGGAAAAATACCAGTTTGTCTCACATGTCTATAATTAATTCATAATTAGCTAAATTAAAAGAGAATTACCAGCAGAATTCCAATGAGTGACCAATCAAGAAAGGTCAAAAACTTTTATCCAGTACATACATGGACATTTATGATTGGTTAAAACTCTTAATTATATGCAATAAGGACATAATGATATGATTAAGAATACATGATAATTCATTAGAAACACCAATTAATTAAATAGTTTTCAACCGGATTGAAAAATCAGAAGGTATTATCTCAAGTAATATGATTGGATATGAAATGAATGGAGTTTTACGTCCTACTTTTCTGTGCCATGTGGGCTAATGAAGACAGGCAACGTCTTTCAGGGTGCAATGAGGGAAATTTTGCCAGCGCAGTGACATTAGCCAGCTCTTTTTCGATTTTAAACTTGCACAGTCTGTAGCACACCGAGCCTCGGTTTATTATCTCATCCAAACGACTAAACAGTTTTTCCATGTCAGCCACTCTTACCTGCATCACTGACAGGAGGAAACAGGGTTGAAAAAATGGAAGGTATTATCACACGTATCAACAACGTATCATCATGATTAAAAACAGTTCTACTACAGAATAGATATTGATATTGCCTCACAGATTACATTAAATACAAATCATTACTTCTTGAAATCCCTAAGATAATTAAAAGTGTGAACAGCTTATTATAGATTAAAAGTCTGGATTTTAAGAAAAAAGTTAATTAAAAAACAGGATTTGGTGTATAAGAGATATGTTTTGTACTAGTTAACATTGTTTACAATGAAACAAGATTACAATTTGGCTCCTCTGATAATTATTGTCTCAATTATAATCTAACATGTTTTTATACCACAGTCGTGTTTTTTAACCAATCAAAGAGTAGAATGTAGGACCTATTTTTCAATAAAAAACAGGATTTGGTGTATAAGAGATATGTTTTGTACTAGTTAACATTGTTTACAATGAAACAAGATTACAATTTGGCTCCTCTGATAATTATTGTCTGCATTATAATCTAACATGTTTTTATACCACAGTCGTGTTTTTTAACCAATCAAAGAGTAGAATGTAGGACCTATTTTTCAATAAAAAACAGGATTTGGTGTATAAGAAATATGTTTTGTACCAGTTAACATTGTTTACAATGAAACAAGATTACAATTTGGCTACGATACGTATCGCATTATAGGTTAATGGGATAAAAATTAACATTTTATCTTCAAAGTTTCTATATATATTAATTCATAACTTTATTACTGTGATATTTGGTAATATAGTTGATTAACGTGGTTAACGTCCACTGTCTTATAAATAGTTTCTATATATATTAATTCATAACTTTATTACTGTGATATTTGGTAATATAGTTGATTAACGTGGTTAACGTCCACTGTCTTATAAATAGTTTCTATATATATTAATTCATAACTTTATTACTGTGATATTTGGTAATATAGTTGATTAACGTGGTTAACGTCCACTGTCTTATAAATAGTTTCTAACAATTTCAGTAAAAAAAATTGTTATCTCAAAAATAACTTATAAAAATCCCCACTTTTTAATGGAATGAGAGGTATCGTCAAGTATTGATATACGACATCGAGATGCAATACACGTATCATGGCATGTTGTATCGCAATACATCGTTTCGTCGATATATCGTACCAGCAATACTGGCCATAGGTTACGTCTGATCAGGTTGCTGGCAGCAACAGAAACAGGAATTTGTCTGGCGCAGTGTTATTAATTCCACATGAAATATTATTTCTGGAACTGCATCCTGCTGATGTTGCCTGCATTAGACCGATTCAGGAAACAGTTCAACAAAGCACGACTTAAAACTTAATTTTAATGATTTACTTTGTGACATTCAAGAGCTCTTATCAGACATGTCCGGCAAATAGACCTACTGATAAACCAATCCCACAACTATCAACTGAATAGTGTTCTTCCGGGTCTAAACATTTTCACTTTGTGCATCGACATGTTCAAATATTTATTACTTTTCAATGAAGTCATTTGAAAACAACCATATAATTGAGCATGTCCTTGTATATAATTGTAATGTAAATTACACTGCTTGTATCCAATAGAAATTATTTCTGTACAGGATTTAAAATATTCTTTACCATTGGGTCCATGCCATCCAATCAAATGATACAGAATTCAGGATGTAGAAAAAATATTTCTCAGGACCTTGTGAAAACTTTAGGGTGTT